AATTCTTTGTGAAAAAAGGTTTAAAGCCCATGGAAATTCATAATGAAATGGTAAATGTGTTGGGTGATGATGCTCCTTCAAAAACAACAGTATGCAAATGGGCTGCGGAGTTTCAACGTGGGCGTTCAAGCCTTGAAGATGACCCTCGCTCTGGACGTCCAAAAAGTGCTACTACTGAAGAAACGATTAATGCTGTGCATGACATGGTTATGGATGATAGACGATTGACCAAACGTGAAATTGCTGAGGCTGTGGGCATCTCAGATGAACGGGTATTACACATCTTGCACGATGAATTACGTCTGAGAAAGCTGTTGGCAAGATGGGTGCCGCATTCGCTAACTCTGGATCAGAAACGCACTCGAGTAAAACTTTCTCAAGAACATTTGGCCCGTTTTCAAAAAAATAAAACAGATTTTGTGCGTCGATTCGTAACCATGGATGAGACTTGGGTTTACCACTATGATCCGAAGCTGCGACAACAAACTGCAGAGTGGACAGAACCCGGTTGTTCAGCTCCGAAGCAAGTGAAGGCGTCAAAATCTTCAAAGAAGGTTATGGCATCAGTTTTTTGGGATGCGAAAGGAATTTTATTAATAGATTACCTTCAAACCGGTAAAACGATAACAGGTGAATATTATAAAAATCTTTTGGACCAGTTGGATAAAAAAATTCGTGAGAAAAGACCTGGTTTGCTGCATAAAAAAATCATTTATCACCAGGACAACGCACCTGCTCATATCAGCGATGTTGCAAAGGCGAAATTGGTTGAATTAAAGTACGAACGCTTGGAACATCCACCCTATTCACCAGATCTGGCTCCGTCCGACTTCCACCTCTTTCCACATCTCAAAAAATTTCTACGTGGAAAGCGTTTCTCATCACATGAAGAAGTCATTGCAGCCGTAAATGGGTATTTTGAAGGCCTTCCGGAATTGCACTTCAGAGATGGGATACATGAATTGGAGAATCGTTGGAAAAAGTGTATTGCTCTTAAGGGAGAATATACTGAAGAATAAAGTCATTTATTGAATCATAAAATTGTTTTTTCATTTCCGCTCCGCGAACTTTTCAACCAACCTAGTATAATAAATTGTGGGAATCTGGGTTTAACTGGATCCAAGTTTGTTTTGGTAATCAGTATTATGTAATTTGCAAATATTCCAAAAAAGCTTTTCTGTCAATGGAAGTGGAATTGGACAAGTAAGAAGCCATGCAATTAGCAAACTTCACACATCAAGGTTTGAAGAAAGAGAAGGACAATCAGAATTTAGTAAAGATAAAGATAAAATATTTGAACCAAACGCTTCAAAAATTAGTTACGCTATGGAGGAAGAGATTTTAAAAGCTGAAAACATAAGCAGTTTAAAGTGAGTTGAGTCTAACTATTCTTTTGCCTCAACCAATGGAGATGGTAAAATGTTTGAAGCAATGTTCCCAGATTTAAAAATTGCCAAAGGATACGGACGTGAAACAAAGTCTAAATGCACCATTTAATACGGCATCTTTCCATATTTAAAAATATTGTTATTGGAGGACGTAAGGATACTGTTTTTATAAAAGTTAATAAACACTATGATGGTTATGTACAATATTGCTCTAAAAAGCACAAGCTCATTAAAATTGCATATGTGAAACTATCATTGTAGACCATTATATTGGTGAAAAGTTGTTAGAACATTTTCTCGAGCTTGTAGAGAAAGTTAAGCTTAACATAAAGATTTTGCTCCATATCGGTATGGATGATCCTATTGTAAATACTAAATTTTAGAGACTTTTAAAGTCGTCAGAGAAAATTAAAAGTTTGAATGCAAGCATTATATCAATAGACACATGCCCCCTGCATATAGTTCATAGTGCATTTAGAGCAGTATTTAATGTTTTAAATTTTAATATTGGCTCATTTGCAATTGATGTTAACTTTAACATCAATTGCAAATTTAACAAGACGAAAAATAGAAGATCTAACAGATATTATTTCACACATTATTCAAAGACATTTTTCAACAAGGTGGGTGACACTCAAAAGAATATTTTCTCAGATTTTTGAAAAACACAAGAATCTTTGTGAATATTTTATAAAATTTCTTCCAACAATACATCTTTTAAATCAACTGTTAGAGATACTAAAAGATATGAGAGGATTAAAGGATTAAATAATGATGCCTTATATTTCTTTTATTGCTTTCATAGAAAATAACTTTTAAATAATTTTAAAAATATTTTAATCAATTAAATCAAAAATTCACTTGATTTTCTCTGAAAAATCAAAACTTCTTGTTGCACTAATGTTCAAGTTTATCAAAACTAAGCTTCTATATGTTAATAATAATGCTAGCAATTCCATAAAAGGCAAAACTAAGCTTCTATATGTTAATAATAATGGTAGCAATTCCATAAAATCTATTAATAGTTGATGATGATTGGTGTGATTGACTCAAAAAATTTCAACCATTAAAGTTAATTGATATTGCACAAAAGCTGAGTCTCATTTTTCAGAAGCTATAGAAGTCTCTTGTGGCAAGAAGAAATTTCAATAAAATTGTCTTATCAAGCATTTACAAGTTATTTAAAATTAAAATTACTTTGAGAATCAGTTATTTAAAAAAATGCAATCTTTCTTGATCCCTTAAAAAAGGAAGTATTGAGTTTCTAGGGTCTCTAGGAGTCTCAAATCTCACTATAGAAATATATAAATCATCGGAAGTAGTCTTATGTAAAGTTTTTCCACCTTGTTCATCAAAAAAAGAGGTTTATGATAATGTACGAAACAAATGATGAGTTGTATATAGATTCAAAATTTTTATGTAGTTTTGATATTGGTACACTAATCAATTCCTTTGAGACTAAAATTTTGAATGATAGTGGTTCACCTAAGTTTCCTAATATTACATCACTTTTCAAAGTTGTTTCTTTACCTTTGCATGGAAATAGTGCCCCAGAAAATAGATTTTCTATTAACAAACACATTATTCAGTTACATGGTACTTAACTTGATCCAGATGTGGTTGAAGGTTTGAGGTTTGTAAAAGATACCATATTGAGCTTTGGGTCCATACTCAATATTCCCATAACAAAGTCATTTATACAATCAGTTAAATTAGCTCATTTAGATTTTTTATTTATTAATGCATGAAGTAAAAGTTTTTTTTTTTTTTTTGCAGATAAAAGATGGTCTATCAGTTGCTGACAATTTAGTTTTTGAAGGAAATAGTGATTTGCAAAAGTGTTTGCTTCAAAAAAAAAAAAACCATAAGAAATAATTTTCAGCGAGCCCAGTTTAAAATTGAAACCTGTTTCAATTTTACACTGGGCTCGCTGCAATTCGTTTCTTGAAATGATGAAAAAAAGACAAGAGCTTTGTTGATGAGCAAGATGTATTGGAAAAGGAGTAAATAACTGACAGTTTAGTCAATTTAGAATTATATTGATTTATATCGAAACTCTATTTATTTTGAAACTCTGTTCTAACTCTAAAAAAATAAATATTTTTTTTCCGAATAAAACATCATTCTAATATATTAACTGAAATAAAATGAGTGTAAAATAAAGTGAAAAATTTATTAGCACTAAGTACTTTGTTTCTATTACTGCTTTACAAATCTATCGCATAATAAAAGTATATTTAACTTTGGTACTCTGTTTAGTATTTTAGATATAGGTTTTTGTTTGCAGATATTTTACATGTAAGAGTTGTCATTATTAAGTTCAAGAGTTTTAATTCTATTTTGTTTATTGTCTACTTTAAATAAACATTAATAATTTCCAAGAGTATTAAAGGGTAAATATGTTATTAATAATTAAAATTATAGGGTTAACAATTTCCAAAACTAAATTTACAAAATTAAATCTGAAAACTTATTTTTGATTTTAGATTGCCCTAAAATGTCCTAAATTTTACACTAATTTGTCCTAAAAAGTCATAAAAACTTGTAAAAATTGTCCTAAAATAATAAAATTTTACCTATTTTAGTAGTGGGAGGCCTGTAATAACTTAAAGCACTGTTTTAAATGAATTAAGATTGCAGCTTTAATCAACGAAATGACAATAACATACTGAACATAGCCTTGTTAAATATGATTGTATATAAAATTGAATCAAACAAAATATAAGAAAATGTTAATAAACTCAAGGTAAATGCAATAGTATAACAGAATGTTTTTTTTTTTTAACCAAAACATAAAACAATCATGGTCTAAAGTATAGAATAAACAACATTACAAAGTATAGAACAACTCAACAAAGTTACATTTGAAACATGATAAAAACAATTACCTCTTATAGCAATAATTTACTACAAATCTTTGAGCCAGTAGAACAAAAGATTGAAAATTTTAAAACTTATTTAAAAAAATGGCTTCTTTTTATCTGAGTTCTTTTTTAGTGATGTTTTCTTGTTGTTTTGTTGCTGTTTAGTAATGTCTTCTTGCTGTTTCACTGGTTTTTTTTAAAAAGTTTGTATAAAAAACAAAATTTAAAAAAAGGCATGCTATAAAGTACTGTTATATAATATTGTATCAAAATGTAAATTAGTTAAAATTCAACCTAGATTAATTTTATGAACATCAATTATTAGTTTATTTAAATCAACATAAGTTCATAAACCCTAACATAAATTATTAATTTAAATCAACATGAGTTAATTATTACTAGCATAAATTACTAATTAATTTAAATCATTTTAAGTTAATTATTACTTATTTGAGGTACCAATTAATTTAAATCAACATAAGTTATATTTATTACAAACTTAAGTTATCAAATTTCTTTTTTAATAAATAAATGTAGCAAAAGTTAAAATTAAAATTAATATAAATACATAAATAAGTTTTAAATACATTTAAATACATAAATAATCTTAACTAATTAAAAATAAAATAAATTAATCAAAAATAACATAAATTAGTTAAAAGTTAACATAAATTAATTATTATTATCATGAATTGTAATAAAGTTTTACTTTTAATAAATAAGCTAATTGAAATTTGAACATGTTTAGCATGCAGCTGAGCTAGAAAAGAAGCAAAATGAGGAAGATAATAAGAAACTTGTTGGGACAGTTGTTACATATGGAGGAATTATTCAGGTATTTTTTTATAAGATAAGGTTTTTTAATTTGTTTGTTTAAAAAAAAAATTAAATATAGATTTCAAATTTTATTTTATTTAGTTGCTGCACCCAAAAAGTAAAAAATATTTAACTGTTAATAAGCGACTACCTGCTCTATTGGAAAAAAATGCAATGAGAGTAACTCTTGATGTAGAGGGAAATGAGGTTAAATTTAAACAAAATTAAATTTTAAATGTTTTTATTATGGTTATAATCTTATATGTAATATTTTAGAATTTTTTTTGTTTTTTTTTGTTTTATATAATTTTTAATTTAATCTTTTAAATGCGATCTTTTGTAATTTTTCTCTCATTTGTGTATTTTGCTCTTATGTTTATTGTAAGTAAATTATTACTTACAAAGTTTACCTACAAAATACATGAAACCATCTAGGTGGGTTTATATCTAATGAATTTATTTACATGTACTTTATTTAATGTAAGTTATCTGGAATATGTATCAAAAACTGTATAAACTAATCATTAACATTTCATTTGGTAAAATATTTAGGGTTCTTGGTTTTACATAATGCCATTCTACAAGCTCCGTGCTAGTGGAGAAAATGTAAGAAATTACATATTTTTTCAATTTTTTTTTTGAAATTAATATAATAAGTATTACAAAAATAATTATAACATAAAAGTTTTACCTTTTATCTTGAAAAAATACTTTAGGAGACCTGGAATCTATTATTTTTAATCTGAAGTTTAGAGAATCTTGGACTAGATTTAAAACTAATAGTAATAGATTTCGGTATTACTAAAAAAATTTTCACAAAGATAAGATTATTTTTCCAAATAAAAAACACTGGACAATGTAGAGCTAAAATTAGAACAAAAAAAACTTGCATTTTTAGTTTTTAGCATTTTAAAAGTTTAATGTAATAAAACATGTAAAATTTGTTAGATCTTTTAGCTTGAAAATAACAATTTAATGCTTAAAATTATAGTTTTATATAAATTTAAAATTAATAATTATATTAAAATTATAATTATATAAATTATATAAAACATATTAAAAGTTAAAAAGTCACAAAATGCATTGTCTTTTTGTGACATATGGTGTTGGAATCTCAACTAATTAAATTAGGGTGTGGAATCTGTATAATTTAATATTGCTCTTTTTTTTTTTTCTTGCTTCTGTTTTACAACATTTTTGGTTGTTCATATTTATCTTTTTTTTGTTCATGTTTTATGACATTTTTCATCGTTATCTTTAGGTTGTGCTTGGTGATAAAGTTATTTTAACTCCGGTAAATTCAGGGCAGCCTTTACATGCTAGCAAGGCAATTTTGCCAGATAAACCAGGTTTCAGAGAGGTTTGTAGATTATTTAATAACTTATTTTTTTTTTTTTAAATAACTTAATTTTTTTCAGAATAAAAAGAAATAAAGTTTTTTCAGATAAAGAATATTGAATTTTAAATTTTTAATATTAGTTATGTTAAATGTTTTCTTTTCTATTTTTTTAATTTTATGACAAAAATCGACTGGAATTTACAATTCGGCTGGAATTTAAAATTTGGCTGGTATTTAAGATTTATGCTGAATTTATAAAAATGCAACTTAAATAATTTTTTTTTACAGAATTTCTTTTTTCCTTCTATCTTTTATTTTTGCTTCTCTTCACCTATGATACAGGGTTACATAAAATTTTAAATCAATTAGATAAAAAAAAATTAAATATTCTAGGGAACTATTAAACAATCTAGTTTTAAAACCAACAACATTAGGGGAAAAAAACTGAAAAAAATGGCACACATAATTAGCCAGAAATATTTTTAATAAAAGTGCTAGGGTTTTTTGAATTAGGAAATCTGATATTTGCTCTGTTCAAAAAAAAAAGCAAACATAAAAACAACCTAGATTTACACAATTCAGATTGTAGCTAGATTCACACAATTTAGATTGAACAACCACAATTCATACAATTTAAAAAAGATGATAATTTAAAAAAGATCAAAAGACGATACATTTTATGTATTGTCTTTTGATCTTTTTTCTTCTGATCTTTTTTCTTCTAATTTTCCTTTTGATCTATTATTTTTTTAGTATCTATTTTGATCTATTATCTTCTTTAGATCTATTATCTTATCCTTTTTTTTTTTTTTTTTTTTTTTTTAATTTATTTTTTGGCAATATTTTTAATTCTTTGAGTTCAATTCAAGTGTTTAAAGGATTTAAAATATTTCCAAAAGATTAAAAAAAAGGTGAAAGATTGCAATATTTTATATTTACTAAGTAATAAGGGATCTAATTACTAATACTGATCTTTTATCATCTGAACAAATTGAAGTCTCTTTCTACCAAGACTCTTGTATTCATTAGATATAATTCAATTTTAGATTCAATTTCAAGATAGTTACAAATTGTAAAAGCGTGTACCTTAAAAAATTGGTTTCAAAATTTTTACTGCTTAAAATTAATTTTATCTAAAGGGTCAACTAACCCAGGTAGTTGGGATTCAGTTTGATCAAATTGACCAGTACTAACATTTTTTATTATACATTTCTGTTCGCTAGTTCTATTTACTGCCCCCTTGAGTTTAATCGCTACCATGTCCTTTGTAATACCACACTCAACTTTTTTTGCCATACAGCAGCCTTGTTTGTTAAGGCTTGTGTCAGAATTATAATCTAAAATTTGATTTTTGTGTTGAATGGTTTTTTCAATGTATAAGTTTCTTTATTTTTACAACTTTCTTTTCGCTGGTTTTTTCAACTTTCATTTTGCCAGCTGAAATTGTTTTATAGGTTTTTTGAACACTAAGATATTTTAAAATATTTGCATTAATAATAAATAAAATACTTTTAATAATAATAATCAATAAATTAATAATAAATAAAATACTTGATAAATTACTTTATTAAAATAATAATAAATAAAATACTTAAAAATAATCAGGGATGCGGAGTCCCAAAAAGGACTCCATATTTAAAAGTCACAACAAAATTACCTCTTCATAGTCTTTGGTATCCAGGAGCTCTAAAATTAAATAAAAGTTTATGGACTACTAAAAGGAAAAAAAAAAGACTTTTAGGTAAGAGAAACAAACTTTTTTTGAACCCGAAGTTCCAAGTCATTAAATCACATGAATTTTTTTCTTACAGCAGATCATAAGTCAACAAACATTTTTAGAGCTTTTGGACACTACAGATCTGGAAAAAATAGAGATATAAAGTAGTCCTTTTGGGATCCGCATCCCTGAAAATAATAATAACAAAAAATAACACGATTTTAGTAGATAAACGAGTCAATACATTTGTGACAGAATGTAGCTTCAGTTTTTCTAAAATTTCATACTTATTCTAGAGGTGTCCTGGATAAGCTATCTGGTCGGATATCCGGGCCGGGTAGCAGTATTATTTAGTATCCGATATCTGGCTACATAATAACTTTGATTGATTTTTTACATACCAAATATTTCATATTCACGTCATTTGAAAATTGAAAGAAATCTAGAAATGTATTATTTTTAAATAATCTAATGTTAATAGTTTCTATTCAATGTTGTTATTATTGTTATTAAAAAAATTCTAACATATATGCGCAAAAAATAGATCAGTTTATCACTCAATTATATTTCTTTTATCTCAACGTGGAGAAATAACATTTCATTACGTTAAGGTAGCTTTGATTGCTTTTCTCATAAAAAAATCTTCCAAAAATATAGTGGATGCAGGTGGTGCTAGTATGTAAGTGCTAGTTCTTTCAACATTTAATACTTCTCTTTATGTTTACAATAATTTTAAAATATTATTTTTTCTTTAATCAAGTGATTAAAGAAAACTATAACTCTCTGAGCAGCTTTTACAAAATAAACTTGATCAGAATTCAATACATTTTGAACTTCTTTGTGCAGCTGAAGAAGATTCACTATTATTTTTTTCCTCTTCATACAATTTATAATGAAATTTTTTCCGTGAATATGCAGTGGAGTTGTGGAAAATGGCTTCTGATCAGGTTTATTAATCCCTTGCTTATCTGTTTTCCACATGGAATGCAAATCGCTGTGAAATCACAGCTATCATTAATGTTAAAAAATTTTTTAAAAAAACTTGCCATTTTGAAGGTTTATCACTGTAATATTTTGTCATAATAAAATATATTTTAGGATTTGAATCACATTATCTGGCTGGATAATTTTTAAATATGGTATTCGATATCCAGTCGGATAATAAAAAAATATTATCAAGGACACCCCTACTTTATTCATTTTACTACATTTTATCCACTTTATCAATTTTATTAATTTTTGTATTATTTTAGTTTTATTTAAATTCTCAAGTAATGTTTACTTTTATTCAGAAGTTCATGTGCAGTCTTTTGAATTTACTTATAAACTTAAATGAGAAGCTCATATATAGTTTTTTGTAATGATTCAAAAAGTAATATTTAATATTTTGCATTCATTCAGAAGTTAACATATAGTACCTTGCATTTATCCAAACATCATTCAATACACATCATTAATATATGCAGTTTCATAGTATCGTTTTAATTTTCCTAGACATTAATTTGCTTCCATCAGCCTAAAGCATACCAATGATTAAAACAAACATTAGGTAAGTTTATTATAAAGAAAAGAAATAAGAATTATTTATTGCATAATCATTGTAGTTTACATTTTCAGCCATAGTATTTACACACAATGTTGTTTATAAATTTTGAGATTTAAATAAAAGAAATGCTCTAAAAATTAACTATTTGTTATCAAAACTTTTGCTTCATGTGGTTTATTTAAAAATTTATTTAATCTACATATAATTTAATCTATGTATAAAATTTATCATATATATATATACACACACACGCTCACAGGGTGGCCACAGCTCCTCTAAAATCCTTTTAAGTCCTCTTTTTCAAAAACCTCCTCTAAAATCCTCTATTATCCTCTAAAAAGTTGAAAATGTGAAAAAATCTCCTCTTTAATGCCTCTTTTTTATTTTTTCATTTCTTGATGGTAGTATAATAGGGTGTCCCAAAAAAAAAAAAAAAAAGCTCTCTACTGATTCCAATTTTATGTGACCTAAATCAGTCCTGAAAAAAATTTGTTGGTTTTATTTTGACAGGAAGTGCTAGATGTAAAATCTTTACATTAATAGAAAACACAATTTTTTTACATTTTAGAAAATTAAAACAAAACAATTAGATGCATATAAATCATTTCCAATTGTTTTCTACTATTTAACTTGATAGTTTATATTTATAAATATGAAAATACAAAAAAAAAAAAAATGTAAACTAATATTTATTAGCAAATTTAAGATTTTATCGTGGTGAAACATTTCTTAAAAAATACAACTTTTTGAACAGTTCCCAAGCTCTTTTTTAGTCATACTCTTAGTCAAGTTTTTTCTAGTCTTTTTATTTCTACAAAGTACATTTTGAAGGTGATCTTCATCTCTAGTAACTGAAATAAAATCTTTAATGAGCTTTATGTTTATTTATGCACCATCATTTACAACAGATATGTTCTTGATCCATGCAATAAAATCTAGCAACTGAGAATGGTTAAAAACATCTATAGTATTAAGACTATTATTGAGCCATTCTTTTATACTTGCTCTTGATATTTTAAAATGTTTGAAGAGAAGGTAGCTTTGCTCGGAAATCAACTCAGGTAGCTTTGTGGTCTCTCCAATTAGTCCATATGATGATTTACAATGTTAATTCATTTGGCTCTTCAAACTCAATCAGAGTTAACAGCATTCTTAGCATTTTTTCAGAAGGAACTTCTTTATCCCCAAAGGACAAAACACAGAGTTGCGGAGTTAAGTACCATGTAAGGCGTCCCATGCTGAGAAGCAAAGCATTTCCAATATTCTTACTGACTTTTCTGAATGCATAGGCTGTCTGGATAGCTTTCAAATCATTGTAAGGAGCAAGAAATCCTAAAAAACTTTTCAAAAACCAAGGAGCATAGCAAATTGCAATGAACAAACTTGCATCCTTTAACTGCATCACTTCTTTTTCTGTCAAGATATTACTGATATCTTTGGTCATATAAAGAGTCAGGATTTAGATTGCATCTGCTAAAAACCTTGCCTCATGGCAGGCGCCAGGTTAATGGAACTTAAAATCTTGTACTTCCGCTCCAAGGAAGGAGGCAAGCTTACAAACTATACCGTAATCATTCCTTAAAAACACCATATCAGTACTTGCATTAGTCTAAAATGTCTTAGCTACCTTTGCAATAGTGCGAAGAACAGAGCCTATCTTCAGATCATCTCTTTGCCAGTCCAATTTACATAAATTTTTCACTTCAGTAACTTTCTCACAGATTTCAGCCACTTTTCTTTAGCTTGACTTAGAGAGGTCTTCTTGGACCGTAGTTTTCTCACCAGTAAGAGCAGCCATATAGTGAGATACATGTACTTCATATATGTGTCTCCTACACATTATCCACAACATTGGTAATTTCAAAGCTTTTTATATCTGTAAGAATTTAGACTGCTCCATTGACTCCGCCTGTATTGCTTGCAGTTGTATCAAAGCATATACCAATTATCTGCTCCTTACATCCATAGTATTCTAAAAGATTGTGCACTTGTTCTGCTTGGTCAACTCCCTTTGAAGAGGGACATTGAACAACACCTAAAAGATGGTCTTCCATGGTATTGTCATCTGGGTAACTCATTGAGACTACAAGTTGCTTAATTTTTTGAATAATGTTAAGTGAAAATTACAACTATGTTATTAAAATAATACTATACCTGTGTTTCCGACCGTTTCCCAGGAAATCTTCTTCCTCGCTGGTTTCAGAGTCCTTGTTTGATTTTTCTTACTCACTGCCGAATTGAATCTCTTCTGTCATGGAGTCATGTGACAGCAAAACATCATTGATATCTTTTAACTTTTTCTGTCTCTCTAATTCTTTCTCTCAACTTATCTAGCTTATTCTTTCTCCTGTTTGCATCCAGTATTCTCCTACTGTAGTCTTCATCGACTTTTGTTCCCATATATCCTTTCCTATCCAACTTCTGGTCTTCATAAAAACTAAGAAATATTTAAATCTATTAAGACATTTATAAATAAATTAATAATTGTTCTAGTTTTTCTTGGAAGATGAATAAACCATGGAGTTAAACTTAAATATTTTAGAGGAAATAATATGCTATTACTTAAGTTGCTTTAAATTGGAAAGAAAACCTCACTACTAAAAAAAGTGTTATTTAATGAACTTATTTTATATCTTCCAGCTTGGCATCATCTGTTCTAAATCTATCAGCAAGAATATCTTTTTCAAAATTCTTTGTCAAGATATCAAAAAGCTGTCAGGATTCTGTGATAAAATATTTCTCTAACTTTGATTGCTTATTAAGGCTGCTGTTCCAGTTTAGAGAAGACAATTTAATCAATTTTTTGTATTTTAAATTAAGTTTAATGATTAATTTAACAAATTAGAATTCCTTCATGCACAAATAATTCCATTTAGAAATTTTTTCCTTCAAAAAACTTTCTAAATGGAGTTATTTGTGAATCAGTCCATGAATAATTATTTCAACTAATAATATTGTCCAGAGGGAATTATATCAATCCCAACAATGTTCATAGGGAATGATGCTAATCTTTAATAATGTCCTATGGGAATTATTTGTGTACCAATTATTTCATCATATTGAAACATTGAAATACTAGATAGCGCTGTTTTTATGTAAATACATATGTGTACAAAAAGTAAAACTTAGAATTTACATCTACCACTACTAGTCATTAAAAAATTAAAGAAAAGATTTTGGTAGCTATTTAGGACCTATAGAATGGGGATTAGTTGAGAGCACATTGAAATTTTAAAAAAAGTGTTTATGGGACACCCTATAGTATAATGTTCAAAATTCATGGTCTGCAAAACTGGTTAATGTCTGAAATGAGGATTGGGTTGCAAAAAATAAATTTTAGCAAATCCATGTGATCTAACATAAAAAAAATCCTCTATTTTTGTTCAAAATTTTGTAGTTTTGCAAAAAAAAAGAAGCTCTAAATTAAATGTAAAATCTCCTCTAAAATTCTCTAATATCCTCTTTTTCTTATAAAAATTTTATGTGGCCACCCTGATACATACATATATATATATATATATATATATATATATATATATATATATATATATATATATATATATATATATATATATATATATATATATATATATATATATATATATATATATATATATATATATATATATATATATATATATATATATATATATATATATATATATATATATATATATATATATATATATATTATATATATATATATATATATATATATATATATATATATATATATATATATATATATATAATGTGTGTATATATATATAATTTTAAATTCTTGCTTATGATTGTAATAACTTAGATCAACTCTGTCAGCTGTACTACATGCTGGAAAATCTCACTGTTTATGGATCATTCAGAAAACATTGACGATGTTTTAAAAGGAGTAAGGAACAACTTTCTTTTGAACAGATTTTAATGATTATACATAGTTTTATTAAAATATCTATTTAAATCTATAAAATAACCTTTAATCTTTTATAGGGTGATGTTGTTCGTTTATTTCATGCAGAACAAGAGAAATTTCTTACACTAGATGATTACCAAAAGAAATCTCAAGTGTTTTTGAGAACAACTGCAAGAGTCTCTGCAACATCTGCTACAAGTTCAAAAGCTCTTTGGATTGTTGAGGTATAACAAAATAATAATCAACACTTTTTGATTTCACAAAAGGTTGGAGTCTTTTTTGGGACTTTTTGAGATATCCTTGCTAAATGACAGAAACACTGATTTTGTATTTAGATATTTTAGTCTTATTTTTTACATGATTATTATTGATGATATTATTATTTTAAATTTTCATAGTTTTAATAATTTTTGCAATCAAGTTAATGCAACAAATAAATAAAACCTTTTAACAATTATGCGATGAAAATATTTTCAAAAAGTTATTTTGCAATATAACTAGAAAACAATTAATACTATGTTTATGCATCAGTTACATACGTTCTGTTAGTTCTGTCAACTCCTGTATTTTAATTTAAAGTGAAACAATTAACAGAAAGATTAATTTCAAAGGTTTTAAATTGTTAATAGAGAATGTAAAGAAACAATGACAATAATAAAAATTTAAAAAGAATTCAAAGCAGAGACTTTGTAAAAAGAATTTATATTAAGACACAATCCATATTAAAAATATGAGCCTCAGTAATCAAAAATATAATAAACATATCCTAATTAACAGTTTTAATAGAAAAGTTGTATGAGCGCTCTTATTGCTTATAAAATATTGTCACATATAACACAATTTGCAAAAAAACTCGCTTTTTTACAAATATTTTTTTGATGTCATACCCTAACCTACGTAATTAAATGTAGGTTAGGGTATGACAAAAAAATAGTAATAGTAGTACAAAAAAATACATAAATAATTTTAGGGAACATTACGCTTAAGACATTTTTTACTAACATAATGGTAAACATGACGCTGAATTTTTCACTAACCGTTATGTAACCGTTATGTTAGCGTTATATTTTTTACAGTATATTCCACTTTTTATGCTCCCAAGCCCTACCATTTGAGATACATGTATACAAGATCTATTAGTTAAGGTGGTAGTAATATATATTTTAAAATAAGGAATTCTTTACTCATTAAATTATTTTTATATGCAAATAAAATGAGAGATAGCATGTTCTTTAATCAAAATATTTCCAGATTGCTAAATCTTTTAAGGAGCCTGCAATTCTTGCCTGGAAAAAAAAAACAAATTTCAAGTATACATGTTAATTATTTGAAGCATGCAATATGAGCAACAAATCAACATTAGGCAAAACTGGATTCCATTCTTATTTTTTATACAACTCCAATAGGTTTAATACCATACTTTACCATACTCAGTTTTACATGGTACTTTTATATGGTATATATGTTTTATGTGTTATTTTATATGGATACAAGCAATTAGTAATTTGACAACTATTCAAGCAATTAGCAAATTGTTTACATTCCTAATGAAGCCAGCATGTAACAGTGTACTATAAAAGTTCACTGTCACCAACAAAAGTATTATTAATGTAGTTTTAAAGTCAACTAGCACTGTTTAAGATTATTGTTTCATACATATAAAAGAATGTGTTGTACATGTTTCATACATATAAAAGAATGTGTTGTACATGTTTCATACATATAAAAGAATGTGTTGTACATGTTTCATACATATAAAAGAATGTGTTGTACATGTTTCATACATATAAAAGAATGTGTTGTACATGTTTCATACATATAAAAGAATGTGTTGTACATGTTTCATACATATAAAAGAATGTGTTGTACATGTTTCATACATATAAAAGAATGTGTTGTACATGTTTCATACATATAAAAGAATGTGTTGTACATGTTTCATACATATAAAAGTTGTATCCTTCTAAATGCTCTTATACAGAATTTGTTACTTATGATACAATCATTGATTTTAAATTTTTAACAGCAGTTTATTTTTAAAATTTCAATGAGTAATGCCCTAATTGAGTTTTTATCACCAGTAGGGTGATAAAAATTCAATGTGAGCATTATTCATTGAAAAAAGTGATCATCAGTAATTCTGTTTCTAATGATACACTTTAGTTGTTCTACTTGTTGTTATTGCCTACCATTATCAACATAATACAAATATTTTAACAATAATTTAACTATAATATTTTAACAATAACTTAACTTTAATATTTCAATAATAAATTAACCATAATATTTCAACAATAACTGAACTGTATTTCAACAATAACTATGATTTTTAACAATAACTTAACTATAATATTTCAACAATAACTTAACTGTATTATTTCAATAATAACTAAACTATGGCATTTCAACGATAACTTAGCTATATTATTTCAACAATAACTTAGCTATATTATTTCAACAATAACTTAGTTATATTATTTCAATAATAACTAAACTATAATATTTCAACAATAAATTAACTTTCATATTTCAGCAATGACTTAACTATGTTTCAACAATAACTTAACTATGATTTTAAAGAATAACTTAACTGGTTTATACTACTTTACACTAGTTAGATAATAGTAAGATAAACATTATTCTCTTCATAAATTTTAAATAAACAATTTGTAGCTTTGAAGTTATTGCTTATGAATTGTTAAACTTTTTCAAAAAATTTATTTTTCAAAAAGAGTTGAATCTGCTATGTTTGACTTTATAGACAAGTAAAATATATCACAAAATCTAATTAAATATTCTTAAATAGATATTTTGGAGTTTGGTTCAGCATCATTAGAGTTTGTTTGAAGAATTTATTATTACTGGTTTAAAAACATTACAATACTATAACTTCAATAACACATTAGAAATTATTAAAATAATTTTTTTTTCGGATCTATTTTTTTATCATATGATTTATATTTTTCATGAAAAATTACAATAAACAGTTTTTTTTTTTACATTCTTGTCAACATGCAACCATTAGTATTATATTAGGATGTCTTAAGATGTTTCTTTTTTCTAGGTTGTTCAACATGATCCATGTCTCAGTGGGGCTGCTCGATGGAATAGTTTGTTTCGTTTTAAACATTTAGCTACAGGAAAATACTTAGCAGCAGAGGTGATAAAGTAATTAATTATTAAATAATAAACTTTACAATTTCGTGGCTTTTGAATGCTTGAAAACCTATTGTTTAGGTTGATACTTGTCCAAATAAAGATGCAAATAGACAAAAGCTGAGAGGCACAGGTCAAGTTTATCACCTGGTTTCAGTTACCAATCCTAATGATTTAGCCACCATATTTGAGCTAGATCCAACCTCTGCTCAAAAAGTGGATGATTTAGTTCCTAGGTATCTGTTTGTTAACTTATTTTGTCTACTAATTTTTTTTAATTGTTTAGATAAAAGAATATGTCATGTTTTAAATCTGAACCTAATTTTGATATTTCAGAATAAACAATTTGTATTAAAACATACCTTAATTTTATAAGTTAATATCTAAGCTTATAGCCTTTGAAATCTACCTGAAAGTTTGTGAAGATAATTATTTCCTATCAAAGATGAATACATAGTCTTCGAAATTTGTTAAGTTTTAATAATTTAGATCTTCGTACACTCGTCTAAAGCACCTTTGCACCAATACTTGGGTACACTCTACTTCTATTCCTATAGATGTAACAGAAGACAAACCAGTCATGCACAAGGTAACATTTCCTTAACAAAAAATTTTTAAGTCTATTAATTTTTTTTTTTTTACAAAAAACGATTTTTCAGAGTTTTTAACTAAAAAAGAGTAATCAATTTTTTAATTGTTTAAGACTGTCAAAAAAAAAAACTTTAACTTTGTGTTATATATTATGAACCTTTGCTTATCAATGACATCATACTTATTATATTTATTTTTTCTCATTTTGCAGTTCATAATTTCAAACTTGTGTCCTATTTAAAAATTTAATTAAAAATAATAAGTTATGTTTTAAAAAATAAAAAGTTATGTTTTAAATGCCAAAATATTAAAATAACAAAGTAGTAAACATATAATAAAATAACAAAAAGTATAAAAATTAGGAAAAAATGTTCATTTTTGCTGCTTCAAAAAAAGTGGTTATTTAATTTTTATTAAAAAAAATTATTAGAAATAAATAAAATGATTAAACTTTAAAAACTCATTGAAAAATGCATTTTGTTTATATTATTTTGAATTAAAGTGAATAAGTAATAGAGGATGATTGCAACAATTTTTAATTACTATTAGAAAAATAGTTTACTAAAATAAAGGTTTCATTATTTCTTAAAACTTTTTTTTAATAAAATTTTAAATTAAAATAAGAGTACAAATTTTTTCAAAAATATTGAATCTTTTAAGGCATTTGTATTCTGGGTAAAAAAAACAAACGAAAGAAAGAATTTATTAAACAATACATATTATTTTTCACTTATGGTCAAAAATAATTGAATATTTATGAGGATGCATAACATCTTAATTATATTGTCATAACATAACAAGATAGACGTAACATTACATTTTAACATAAAATAATAAGATAATGATATTATGACATAACATCCTCATAACATCTTTTGTTGGTTTTGTGTACTATAACACGTGCTTCCAGATTTGAATACGAATTATATAGTTGGTTTTTCTAATTTAGCTTGGATGTGCGCAAATAAAAGAAGATAAAGAAGCTTTTGCAATCATTCAAGTTGCTGCAGAAGAAGTGAGAGATTTAGACTTTGTGAGTGATGCTAGCAAACAGTTGACCATTTTTGTATCTTATATGGAAGAAGGGAATATTTCACAGTTAGACAGAAGGTAATTTTGCATATGGTTTTTTTTTGTATAAAAATTATTAATCATGCTATTTATAGGTGATGCACTAACAGTAAACATAAATTCTGGTAGTGGCGTAGTGGTAGAGCCCACCACCTCAACCACCTCACTGTGTCCCTGGTAGCACCGTGTTTAACTTAGTAGCCTTGTTAATCAAAGCTCATGTTTAAAAATTTAAGGGTTGAAAGAGGATTGCAACAACAGTTAAAAAAAACAGCCTCCTTGACTGTAGTGGCCCTCTAAGCTTTGTAAAGATGATTGCAGTCTAAAAAAAGATGTGCAAATACATTATATAAATTTAATTAACTGTATAAATATTATAAATATTTGTATTAATTGAATTAATATATTTACATTGATTACATGTTTAGTAAGATTGCCAGACTTAAAAACTTACCAGATTTAAGAAATTAAAAATTTTCATTTTTTATACCTAATTGTATATTATTAAAAGCAACTTTTAGAAAGCATAATTCAACTTTTTGAAAAAAAAAAATCTTTTGTATTTTAATTTATAAAAAATGGTTTTGAAAGGATTTAAAAAACATTAAAACTTACAAAAATTGGTCATAAAAATTAGTTTTAGGAGTTGTTCAAGATCGTTGAACATTAGACTAGAAAGAAATAGTTTCTTTATGTTAAGTATGTTAAGTATGTTAACCTGGGTCTCAAAATAAAAAATAAAAAAAATTTTTCATTAAGATTTTTTTGAAGTGATTTTACTTCTTTTGATCCAGGTTAATTTTTAAAGAAAATATTTCTTTTGACTAATGTTTCAAGGGTCTTTAACAACTCATAAATGTATATGCTAAATTTTGTATAAGCTAAATTTTGAAGTCCAGGTATTGTTTCATTATAAAGAACAGATTTATTTATGGGATCATAATAAACATTTATACCTAATATATAAGTAATTTAATTAGTTTATATAAGTATTTATAATATATGAAATTTACTCTAGAAATCAACATAAGTATTTATGATATATGAATTATACTCTAGAAACCAACATAAGTATATAGTATATAAAAAATTATTTATTATTTTTAATAAATGAAGTTTTGAATTTTGAGGAAAAAAAAACAGGCTTAGTTTAATTGAACTTTGTTTGATTAACCTAGGGCTTATACCTTTAAGTTAAACTCTGACAACCACATTTGATTCTTAAAGTGTTTAAATTTCATTAGGCAGGGAGTTGACTCAATTGAATAGAAGTTAGAGGCTCAACATTGGTAGTGGATGGAATAAAAATTGTTGTTAATAGTAAATTTTATCAAAACTTTTTATTTTATTTTGTCTAGAGCACTTACTCAACTGCTTACTGATATGAACTTATTTATGTTGAGTATGGACATATCATCAACAAAACAGGATGTCTTGCAGCTTACTTGTCCAAATCCTGATAGAGAAAGACAAAAACTTATTCGTGAACAAAATATTTTGAAAAAGGTTTGTACATCATTTTTTTATGTTTAGTGTTGAGGTATAAATTATAGTTTTCTATAGTTGTGGCTTGTACCTTTAATTAATATATTCTGTAGTTTATGGTTTGTATCTTTAATTATCTTATTTAGTTAGATAATTAAATTATTTTTTTAGCAATATCAACAAATTATATTAACAATTCCTTAATTCTTTTTTTTTACTTCAATTTTTATTTTGTATCATTTAATAAATGTTTTAATAATATAATATTAGCGTTACATTATTTAATAAAAATTTAATAATAACTTTATTAATGAGAATAAAATTAGTTTGAAAATAAAATTTATTATTAAATTATAATTTTAGATATTTCAACTACTTCATGCCCCATTTTTGGATAAGGCTGGTGTTGGGCCTATGCTAAAAATAGATGAGTTATCTGAACAGCGTAATGCTCCAATCAGACACATACTAAGGCTCTGTTATCGTCTTCTGCAGAACTCAGCCAATGATTATCGTAAGAACCAAGAATATGTAGCTAAACAGTTTGGGTTTATGCAATCACAAATTGGATATGATTTAATGGCTGAAGAAACAATCACTAACCTTGTTCATAATAATAGAAAGCTGCTAGAAAAACATATTACTGCTGCTGAAATAGACACTTTTGTTACACTTGTACGAAAAAAAAGAGAATGTCGGTATGATATATGTTACTTTTAAATTTAAAAAATCAAATTATTTTACTTTTTTGTTTATTCAATTGATACTAAAAAATTTATTTACAAGACAATATTATTATTAATAAATTATTATTAAGATATCACATGCATAAGATATCACATACATAAGAAATTTCAAAATTAAAGATGATTAGGTGTCAGTAAATGGCAAGATGTCAGTGTCAAGATGACAGGTTTTAAGATGTCAGATTGATTTCAAAATGTATGAAAATTTGTCAATTTTAATTAAAAAATGCAGACAAATGCAGCAAATCTTGGAATGAGTGTGTAAAGTAGATGAAACATAAAAACTGAATCTCAGAAATGCACAACATAGACTGACTTTGACACAATGTTGTCATTAATTATTATTAACTGTTTCTAATCCATTCAAGTATTATTACTAAGTCTAATCCATACAAGTGCAGCATGTTCTTTGCCCACCAAAATATTAGAAATTATTTACATTTCAAAAATTACTACAACAAGAATTTTAGTGAAAATGTAGGTAGATATGAATGTGGAATGTTGATATTTGGTTTTAAATAATATCTACTACCAATTGCATTGAAGATATTATCTAAACCTAATTGAGTTCAAGCAAAATTTTAGTGGGGAAACAAGATGTAGTTATCTAACAGGGTGCTTATTCACAAAATTTTAGTGAGTCTAAATGTTGCATAAACTAGGTGTAAAGTTTGCATTAGTTCAAATAAATACAATATCATATACCTAATAAACCTTGCATAACCTTTTGCGCACAAAAACTTATGAAATTCTTTAGCTTTTACACTATTTTATGTTTTATGTATTAAGTATTTACGAATATGAAAACTTAAGTAAAAGCAAAAATCCTAAAAAATGGTATTCACAACATTTTTAAAAAAATGTTCAGCAAACTTTAAACAGGAAAGTTGCGTCTGCTGTTACTTTTTTCATAATGTCGCAAAAGTTTTCAAACTTTTGCGACATTATGTAAATGTCGCAAAAGTTTGAAAACTATTAATATTATTAGTATACGTTTTTTGTTACTTTGGTTCAGCTCGGCAAAAGTTGAAAAAATGTTGTGAATAAAAACCCAGAATATTGATATAAATCAATAAATCTTTTGTTTTAATTTTGAATAATTGTGATTAATTTTTGTTTGCTTTGATTTATAAAATTTTACAATTAGCATTTTTTGTTTTTTAGATTTTTGGACTATCTTTCTGATTTATGTGTATCAAATAACACTGCTATACCAGCCATGCAAGAATTGATATGCAAAGCTGTTCTTAACCCTAAGAATTCTGATCTGCTTATTGAAACTAGGTTAGTTTATATTTGGCAAAACAATTTTCTTATTAAAAGTAAATACATCTTTACTAATACGAATACTCTATTATATAAATACTTTTTTCAATCAATACAACATTGATATGTTTTATTGATTGAAAAAAGAAGGAAAATGATGTCTCATAATTTTCTCACGCTAATTAATTGAGCATTATTTAGAAAATATTGCTCATAAAATAAAAATAGTTTTTTTCAATTAAAACATTTTGTTTTTAAAAGTATTTAGTTTTAAACTTAATTATTACTTGTGATGCTGACCACGAATTATTTAATTGCTATGTAACCATGAAATTAATACAATTCCTTACATTAAGTTAAAATTCTGACATCATAACTTTTTTATGCAGTCAAAATATTTTCAAAATGATGTTTATAAAAGAACTTATTTTTCTGAAAGGTTTTATAATTAAATCTCTTTTAAAAAAAAAAAAAGAGGCCGTTTCGGGCAAATTTTTATTTATAATAAAACTTGATATATTTTAGTTACACTGGCCAGCATTAGTTTTTTTTTCTATTTCTGAGTGAACAACAACAAAAAACAATATTTGCCATTTATGTACGTGTGTGTGTGTACATATATATATATATATATATATATATATATATATATATATATATATATATATATATATATATATATATATATATATATATATATATATATATATACACACACACACGCACACATACAACCGAAATTGTATAAAAATTTCAAAATTATGAATCATTTTATAAATAAACTATTAGTTTAGACTTTAGTTAATTGAAAATGACATTTTTAACTTAAAACAAAAAAAAAAAAAAAATTCAACAAGATTTTTTTAACAATAATTTTTTTTTATCAATTTTTTTTTTTTTTTTAAATACCATTACTTTTTTTTAATTATTAGTAGTAATCTTAATTATTTTTAAGAATGTATCAAGGGGAGGTTCATTTATTTTGGGAAGGCGGCTCACAGCATAAATCTCAGCGCCAACTTGCAAAAGATGCTAGTTATGGACACGTAGATGATGTCAATTTATTGAACTACTATAGGTAATTTTTACTTTATGATTAATTTTTAATATTGTAATATTTTATATATATATTCCAGGCCTTGTTTTAAATAAAAAAGTGCTTAATGCATTAGCTTAACGCGATTTTGACGTCATAAAATTATCTTTATCTTTTTTTATAGACGTTAAGTGTTTTAACTACCGCAATAAATAAATAACCGCAAACTAGTTCAATTTAACAATTAACTCAAATATAAACTATAAACGTTTTAAATATAAATTTATTATGAAAATTTTGTAATGTTTTAAATTGTTATTTTATTATTAATTTTAGTTCAATATTATTTAGTAAAATATATATATATATATATATATATATATATATATATATATATATATATGTGTATATATATATATATATATATATATATATATATATATATATATATATATATATGTATATATATATATATATATATATATATATATATATATATATATATATATATATATATATATATATTATATATATATATATATATATATATATATATTAATTATTTCTGAAATTTGTTTTTGAATAATTGTTTTTAATCGTTATTGAATAAAAAATAATAATGATTTTTTTTATTTTTAAAATTTCTAGAGTAAACAAAAAATATTAACATTGATAAACGCAAACCCATGTTAATTATTTAAACAACGATTTTGTTTTGACTAGCAAAGAAAAATTTAAGTTTTTAAATATTTAAAAAATTTTTAAAAGCGTTTTAAACTTGCGTTTTATAAAAATATAAAAAAGTTTTGCCTGCTTTGTGCATATTTTTGATACGTAGTTTAGAACGCGTTCGCTTGGAATTTAATTCATAAAGTTTTTATGTTTTTGTAAAAATATTTAACTTTTTAAACAAATCACAAAGAAACAGAGCTATAGAGAAAAATCGTTTTCAACGATTAAATCTTTTTTTTCTTTAATTTTAGGAAATTAAAAAAAAAATTAAATTAAATATAAAAGTCTTAACTATGCAAACTTTTTTGTTAATTATTCTTAAAACAAAAATACAAATACTTCTACGCCAAACTTTAATCGTGCAAACTTAAAAAAATACTCAACTGAAATAATTTAAGTATATTTAATAATTTGAATCGTATCTGTTTATAATAAACGTTCGTAAAAATTTGTTTATTAAAAATTAAGTTCCTTAACTTATAAACAAACTCAAAAGTATTTTCATTCTACGTATAATTACAAAACTCTTTTTTTCGTTTGTAAGCAATTTAACTTAATAAAATAAAAAAACGAATAAATATGAGGTAATCTTTGTTAAGAATAGATTTAATTTATTTATTGAACTATATTTTTATTTTTAATTATATATCAACTTAATTAAAATATAGTAACATGTTAAAATATTTTAACATGACTTGTATTATTTATAAACCGTTGGGCAGTTGCCCTTACGGCACTATTGTTTTTGGATAATATTTTATTTTGATGAAGATCACATAACTTACATTTGATTTTAATAACGTAAGTCTTCTCTTTTTCTGTGATCATCGCATCGGCAAAGCATCGGCAAAGTCCCAAGATTTAAAAGTTTTTAAAGTAAATCTTTTGTCCTTCAAAATACAATCCATATTCGAACTTTAAACAATTTAGAGATAATAGAAATATACAAGGTTTTTATATACTAGTTTGTTTTGTTTTATAAAGAAAAATACATATTCATTAGTAAAAAATGGAGACTGTCATTAAACTAAAACGTGCCTTAGTATTTATTTAACGGAACCTGTAATGTGCGCGTGCATAATAAAACCTCCGTTGTATAAATATATTCAACGTAATATTAGTGTCATCAGCGGATGTTGTAGTCTACTCTTTTTTTACCTTATATTATAACTTGATTTATGAAAAAAAAAAACTTATTGAATCGCACGCAGAAGAATTTTAACAAATTGCCTTCATTCAAATATTGCGAGTAACAGGTAATTTTTTTTTCTGTGCAGACCCCCTCCCCCCGCATAACTTAAATTATATACTAATAAACTAATAAGAAAAGCTATATACTATTAAACTAGCTATAAGCTATATACTATTAAACTAATAAGAAAAGCAAAGACATTTTTTTTAACATCTCGAAAAAATGTCTTGATATTTTTGTTATCATGATAACAAAAATATTAACACATTTTTTGAGATTTTATTAAAAAAAAACGTCAATTCTTAATTACAAATTTTTTTGCAAATGTTTTTTATTATAAATTCAGTAAAAAATTCATAAAAAATCTATATTACAAAAAACTTTTATATTCTGTATTAATAAATATGGAATATAGATTTTTTAAAAGTTTTTTACTAAAAACTTTAAAAAATTACTACTTTTTATTAAAAACATTGCAAAAAATTTGTAGTTTGACAAACAATTTTTCATGTTGCTAAATATTTGGATAAAAAGTTTAGCGTCAAATTAATTGCTATAAAAAGGAAAGATATATCGCAATGAAAAGTTACAATAATTATTAGTAAGTAAATTCTTTTTTTTAATAAATACCTTTACATAACGTTATTTAAAAGTTAATGTGGTTTTTTTGAAAATTAATTACTTCTTTTATGTTACCGCTAATTTAAAAGTTAAAAAATGATAAAAAGTAGCTTAACCAAAACAGCTCTACGCGTACGTAAAAAGCGCTTAAGGCGTACGTAAATCGCTCTAGGCGTAACGCTTTAAAACAAGGCCTGATATTCATAATTTTGATGTTTTAGTTTATAGGTATAGTGACTTACTATATGTTATTTATTAAATCATCACAGTTAGAAAATAATCTCTTAATAAATATTGTTACTAATGAGTTGTTTATACATTTTAACTCACAAATTTAAATTAAACTTCACATTCACACTTTTATGAGGAACTTTCTTACAAAACATTTAAGTTGGAATGTTGCCATGTGATGGGATATGTTGTACTGATGATTTTATCTATCAATATCTTATTAATCAAAGTTTAACCTGTATGTTCTAACTAACCACAACTAAAATATGCAGTTGAGATGAGAGATGAATACTTTGATTATATTTAGATTTTTTATTTTTCTTTAGATGAATATTTCTAACTTTTGATATAAATGGTTTTCAAAAAGGTCTGAAATATACTACAAGTGAATGTAGTAAAGATTTATACTTTCATCATAATATTTAAGTGTTTGTATGCAATTACAATGTTTATTATTCCAAGAACTTTTTTTAGCATTAGCTAAAGCTCATAAACACTTGTTAGATGTTTACAAGTTGTGCAATATCACAACTCCAAGATTTTCTTCTAAAATAATCTCATTTTAACTATATTTATAAACAAGATTTTTTTAATGTTCATTAGTTTTTATTTCTCAACATTATATTGCATTTATAAATCAACAAATTTTTTGCAGATATTTTTGTAGTTTTAAACACTTGCAGTATTTATTTTAGAAAATATTATGGTATCACCAGTAAATTTTAATACACATTTGTTTTCATCTAAGTAAAAATTATAGATCAAGAAATAGATAGGGCTAATTACTAATCCTTGGAGAACACTGCTTTGTATCATCCTATAAGTGGAGTTCTTTTCATTCAAAACTACTTACTAAACTTGGTTTTTAACCTGTTTTATGTATTTAACTAGTTTACTATGGTTCGTTGAGGACTTTTAACTTAAGTCTAAATGGTGAAAATATGTTTAACAAATGTAATTATTTCAGTAATTTTTCATTTTTTAAATCATTTTATCTTTGAATTTGAAATATTTTTTTAATTTTGAAACAATTATCTTGATAAACAAGATCACTACATGGAGAAACAAGTTGAGTGTGCAATAGAGACTGAGTCTGAACTTTGTGACTGTGAGCAATAGAGACTGAGTCTGAACTTTGTACTTCTTGCTTACAAATCAAGTATTTTACCTCTACCACATGTCCATATAATAAATTAGGCTGGTTTAAACATTGGCTAATAATTTACTTTGTTACTCTAAATCTTTAAATTACAATAGATAATTTGGTTGTCACACTGTTTTGTTATAAAGTTATTAAGTTTGCTTTTTGACTGGTCTACCATGCCTAACATGTATGTAATCATTTAATTTGAGTTTAGAGTTTAAAATGTTTTTCTAAATCTAACTTTTAGTTTTAATTTTTTACAGAGCTCAAATAAAGGAAAAAAATTCTTATAGCGAAAATTTTTTTAATTTCAAGTTGAAATTTCTTTTTCTTCTCTTTTTCTGTGCGCTTTGCTGTATGAGGAGTTGCATTAGTACAAAATCTTATGTTCTTTATTTTATAATTGCTATTAATTTTTTTAAATAAAATCTCATATTTAAATAATATCACATCGTATTCTTGTCTGGCAGATTTAAAATAGATTAAATTACAGCTTAAGTTATAATTTAAAACTTAATTTGCTGTTCTAAATGTAATCTGCAAGCAATCTATTTATTACTATTACAATACTAGTTTTGGTAATTTTTTTACTTAATATAATAGTTAATAATACCAAATACCAAACTTATTAGATTCCACGTTTTTTTTAGATGTACTGCTTCTTAATCCAGCGTACTATGAAAAATTAAAAATAATTAATTCATTAGTTTTTTCCAAATTGTTGTCCTTATTTTCTCTTTTCTCTATTGTAATCAAAGCTCGAGACTTCTGGAGAATCTTTAACAGTATCAATAATAAGGGCAAATCTGTTATTCCTTCTCTCTTGTATGGTTCAGACTTTGTCACCTCACCTAAAGACAAAGCTGAATTGTTTGCTAAGAACTTTTCATCAATATCATCTCTTGATTCCACTAGTTGCGTTTTACCTGACATAGCCGTCAAACAGGTTGATCCCTTGCTTGACATTCGCATCACTTCAGCTTCTGTATCTAAAGTAATTTCTTGCTTAGACTCTTCAACAGCTTGTGGTCCTGACAACATTCCTGTTGTAGTTTTGCAGAGGTGTTCTCCGGAGCTTTCATCCATACTTTCTAAACTATTTAACAAGTGCTTATCAGAGTCTTGTTTTCCATCATGCTGGAAAGCAGCATCTGTTATCCCTATTTTCAAAAATTCCGGAGAGCGATCTGATTCATCTAACTACCGTCCCATTAGTCTTCTTCCTGTCATAAGCAAGGTTTTTGAATCTTTAATCAACAAACACTTAATCTCTCATCTTGAATCAAATAACTTACTTTCTGATCATCAATATGGATTTCGGTCTTCTCGTTCTACAGCTGATGTGCTAACAGTAATAACCGATAGGTTTTACCGTGCATTAGATAGAGGTGGAGAGGTTAAGGCTATCGCACTTGACATTTCTAAAGCTTTTGATAAAGTTTGGCATGCTGGTCTTCTCCATAAGCTTTCTTCTTATGGTGTAGCTGGTAACGTCTTTAAGATTATTGAGTCCTTTCTTTCCAATCGTAGTATAAAAGTTGTCCTCGATGGACAACACTCTTCTTCACATCCTGTAACTTCAGGGGTTCCTCAAGGTTCAATCCTTGGCCCTATACTCTTTTTAATTTACATTAACGATCTTCCAGATATTCTCACATCTAAGGTGGCATTATTCGCTGACGACACTACCATTTACTCTTGTCATGATAAGAAGCCTACACTCTCTGATTGCTTGGAGGGGGTATCTGAGCTTGAAAAGGATCTCACTTCTGCTACAGCATGGGGCTCACAGTGGCTGGTGAACTTTAATTCAGATAAAACTCAATTTTATTCGGCCAATCGTTATCGTAATAATTTAGATCTTCCTATATTTATGAATGGTAATGTACTAGATGAGTCATCTACCATTCATCTTCTAGGATTAACTCTTACTTCTGATCTTTCTTTTAAACCGTATATCAAATCCATTGCAAAATTAGCATCTGCTAAGGTTGCATCTCTTTATCGAGCTCGACACTTTCTTACTCCAGATTCTATTCTCTATCTCTATAAATCTCAAATCCGTCCCTGTATGGAATACTGTTGCCACATCTGGGGCGGATCTTCTAATGATGCTCTTTCTCTTTTAGACAAGGTGCAAAAACGAATTGTAAACATAGTTGGACCTGCTCTTGCAGCCAATCTCCAACCTTTGTCACATCGTCGTAATGTTGCTTCCCTTTCTCTTTTCTACAAATATTATAATGGGCACTGCTCTAAAGAGCTAGCGTCCCTTGTGCCATCTACTAAAATTCACTCTCGTGTTACTCGCCATTCAATTAAGTCTCATCCTTTTTCTGTGACTGTTCCTAAGTGCTTCAAAAACTCTTATTCTTCTAGTTTTTTTCCTCGAACATCAGTTCTTTGGAATTCGCTTCCTTCATCTTGCTTTCCTGATTCATATAATTTGCAATCTTTTAAGTCATCAGTCAATCGTTATCTTGCTCTACAGATTTAGTCTTTTCTCTTCCAGTAACTTCCAACTCTTATAGTGGTTGCTTGCAGCCTTGTTGGAAGTGAAGATGTTAAAAAAAAAAAAAAAAAAAAAAAAAAAAAAATATTTTAACCATCTAAGTATATTTATTAGTTAAATTTAGTAAATTGATTTATGGTTGTTTTGATTTATTTTAAGTAAAATTTACTGTGATGCACTTATCTATAAAGTACATCACACTGAATTTAATTTTAAATTAGACCTAGAAAATTATTGGCTTCATTGCAGAGTTTTCAAGTAATTAAATTTGAAAAGTGTCTTATTTTTAATGAAAACACCTGCAAAAGAGAGCAAATAATTTCATATGTCTATTCAAAAGTTATATATATATATATAAAAGATTTATGAAAAAGTTTTTATATTTTTAATGTTTAGATATCAGTTACAACTTTTTGGGAAAATGTGTTTGGATCGTCAATATCTGGCAATAAATATTATAAGTAAACAGTTAGATCTTGAGTTAATGTTAAGGTAACTGGTTACATTTAATTATCTATTTGTTCTTGCCACTATTATTAAAAAGGTTCTAAGGTATCTGATCGTTGTTGTCATCATCATCATTATCATCATCATCATCATCATCATCATCATCATCATCATCATCATCATCATCATCATCATCATCATCATCATCATCATCATTAAAGACAAAAATAACTTAGACTCTGATTACATATGAAATAGAAACAAACTCATGTTGGTTAATAGAAATTTTATGCTTTTTTTTATAAACTAAACAAAGTTTGTCACTTTGAATAAAAAAGAATCTATTTTACAGGAGATCAAATGTTCAAGAATGAGTTTTTTTTAAAAAAGTAATCTACAAGTTTCTAAAAAGTCTAAATCTAAATTTACTAATAACTTTTTTTTTACTTTTGTGATTTAAAATAATTATCATGGTTTGAAAACAGCTTTTTTTTTTACATATTTTGTGGCAACATTACAACAACGAAAATGTATTACTAATTAAAAAAAAGTAAAAAATCAGTGATGGTGATTTCTTTGATTTATAAAAATTTCAAGATTGCTAATCTCCTACAGACCATTCTTGGTACCAACCCTTGGTAATTGCTTAATCCAACCCTTGGTAATTGCTTAATCCAACCCCTGGTAATTGCTTAATCCAACCCTTGGTAATTGCAATTCACAATTGCTTAATCCAACCCTTAGCAATTGCTTAATCCAACCCTTTGCTTGTATCTCATTTAAAATATTATGATAATTTTAAAAATGCACTTAAGTTCATCACTTCAATGGTTGGTTTTCTAGACAAACTGATTTAGCATCGCACCAACAACAGAGATGTTTGTGGAAAAATATTTTAGCTAACATTCCTGCTGTTTCTCAACACCTTTTTGTTCTTTCTTGATTTTTCTCTATTGTTTAGTCACCAAATCATTTTATTTAAGAGACAAGAAACTACCACCACCATTTTTAAATTCTGTTTCAGAAAACAGTTTAGAAACACTGCTAAAATAAAGTACTGTATTGTACTTTATTCATTAAATATATTTTGTATATATGTTTTTTAGTGCATATATATGTATGTATGTATGTATATATATATATATATATATATATATATATATATATATATATATATATATATATATATATATATATATATATATATATATATATATATATATATATATACATTCACGTAAGTGAAATATTTATTTTAATAACATCTGTTTTTAACATTGAGTTTAGATGCATTGCAGATCATGGATTACCGTTAAGTCTACGTGCTGCATTTTGTCGGCTTATGTTACACATGCACATTGATCGTGATCCCCAAGAACCTGTCTCACCTATTCGATACGCAAGACTTTGGTCACAGATTCCAACTAAAAATGCCATAGAAGAGTATGTATTTTCTAATAATGATTTTTTTTTTAAATAAATAAAATGAACCTGCAATATATTTAAAAAAAATAATATTTATAATAATATAATATTTTATAAGCCAGGTTTGTGACCGATGCTGGGTCCATGTTTTTGACTGAAGCTGAATAAACATTGATATAGCCCAAAGTATATTTTTTTAATTCAAAGTTCACATTACATTACATATGTATATATATATATATATATATATATATATATATATATATATATATATATATATATATATATATATATATATATATATATATATATATATATATATATATATATATATATATATATATATATATATATATATGCATTTACTTTATATAGCAAAAATCATCATGATCCTCATGAACATCACGATCGTTATCATCATCATATTCATATATCATCATCATCAAGCTTTAGCTTTTTATGCTGTTTCTCTAATACAAAAAATCTCACTCTCTCCAAGCATTTTCTTACCTTACCTAAAGCTTGTTCTTACCATATGTAATGCTTGACATTCGCATCACTTCAGCTTCTGTATCTAAAGTAATTTCCTGCTTAGACTCTTCAACAGCTTGTGGTCCTGACAACATTCCTGTTGTAGTCTTGCAGAGGTGTTCTCCGGAGCTTTCATCCATACTTTCTAAACTATTTAACAAGTGCTTATCAGAGTCTTGTTTTCCATCATGCTGGAAAGCAGCATCTGTTATCCCTATTTTCAAAAATTCCGGAGAGCGATCTGATTCATCTAACTACCGTCCCATTAGTCTTCTTCCTGTCATAAGCAAGGTTTTTGAATCTTTAATCAACAAACACTTAATCTCTCATCTTGAATCAAATAACTTACTTTCTGATCATCAATATGGATTTCGGTCTTCTCGTTCTACAGCTGATGTGCTAACAGTAATAACCGATAGGTTTTACCGTGCATTAGATAGAGGTGGAGAGGTTAAGGCTATCGCACTTGACATTTCTAAAGCTTTTGATAAAGTTTGGCATGCTGGTCTTCTTCATAAGCTTTCTTCTTATGGTGTAGCTGGTAACGTCTTTAAGATTATTGAGTCCTTTCTTTCCAATCGTAGTATAAAAGTTGCCCTCGATGGACAACACTCTTTTTTACATCCTGTAACTTCAGGGGTTCTTCAAGGTTCAATCCTTGGCCCTATACTCTTTTTAATTTACATTAACGATCTTCCAGATATTCTCACATCTAAGGTGGCATTATTCGCTGACGACACTACCATTTACTCTTGTCATGATAAGAAGCCTTCACTCTCTGATTGCTTGGAGGGGGTATCTGAGCTTGAAAAGGATCTCACTTCTGCTACAGCATGGAGCTCACAGTGGCTGGTGAACTTTAATTCAGATAAAACTCAATTTTATTCGGCCAATCGTTATCGTAATAATTTAGATCTTCCTATATTTATGAATGGTAATGTACTGGATGAGTCATCTACCATTCATCTTCTAGGATTAACTCTTACTTCTGATCTTTCTTTTAAACCGTATATCAAATCCATTGCAAAATTAGCATCTACTAAGGTTGCATCTCTTTATCGAGCTCGACACTTTCTTACTCCAGATTCTATTCTCTATAAATCTCAATATGGAATACTGTTGCCACATCTGGGGCGGATCTTCTAATGATGCTCTTTCTCTTTTAGACAAGGTGCAAAAACGAATTGTAAACATAGTTGGACCTGCTCTGGCAGCCAATCTCCAACCTTTGTCACATCGTCGTAATGTTGCTTCTCTTTCTCTTTTCTACAAATGCTATAATGGGCACTGCTCTAAAGAGCTAGCGTCCCTTGTGCCATCTACTAAAATTCATTCTCGTGTTACTCGCCATTCAATTAAGTCTCATCCTTTTTCTGTGACTGTTCCTAAGTGCTTCAAAAACTCTTATTCTTCTAGTTTTTTTCCTCGAACATCAGTTCTTTGGAATTCGCTTCCTTCATCTTGCTTTCCTGATTCATATAATTTGCAATCTTTTAAGTCATCAGTCAATCGTTATCTTGCTCTACAGATTTAGTCTTTTCTCTTCCAGTAACTTCCAACTCTTATAGTGGTTGCTTGCAGCCTTGTTGGAAGTGAAGATGTTAAAAAAAAAAAAAAAAAAAAAAATCCACTCTCTCCAAGTTTTCTTACATCTACCATTCTCCTGAAGCTGCTACCTCTCTTCATACTGTTACCTAAACCATTTTTATTTATTTGCAAGTTATTTGCGAGTTATTTGCAAAGAATTTTTCTCTAATTTAACTCTTGAATCTAATGGCCATACTTTTTCTGCCATTCCAGTTAAACAAATTCACTTATTATTAGACATTGAAATAACTTTGCCTTTTAATGCAAATAATGAAGTTATTGTTGACATTCCTATATTGATGAATAACAACCCTTTCACTATCATACAAGGTCCAAAGGTCTAGAGGTCGAAGGTCCAAAGGTGCATTGTAAATGTAGTTTTAGTTGCCAAACTTTATCTGCAAAATTTGACTCTTTCATCATTGAAAAGTTGCATCTTATTTTTTTCTCAAAATACTAACATAGTTCAATCATCCAAAATTTGTTCTCTCATGGCTGGTTGTTTAACATTTATTTTCTGTATCTGTCCTTCCATGCTATAAAAACTAAAACATATTCATCTAGTTTATTTTCTTGCACATCAACACATCAACGTCCTGACTCATACAACCTGCAACTTTTTAAGTCTTTAATTAACTGTTTAATTTTGCTTTAATCATATCTTTTGTTTTATATATATATATATATATATATATATATATATATATATATATATATATATATAAGTTTATAATACTCTAAAAAAGCGCAACTATAATAGCATAGCAGTATTGCATAGAATTTTATAAAAAATATATAAAAGCCACATCTTCCCCCAAAAAAAATCCAGAAGTATAAAAATTATATGAAAATGAATTACAATTAGTTTTGCTATAAAGAGACATGTAATATACAAATGTTGAAAACAGTATGTAATATTCAAATGTAAAAAATTCACTTATATAATGCTATGTACGAACATCTGTAAGTCTAAACATCAGTTCTGCTGACAGTAGGTAAGTTGAGTTTGGATTTAAACTCAAATTACCTACTGTCAATGATTACATATGTCGTCAAAGGTTCGAATCCTCTGATTGAACAAATTAGGGAATCAGAATCTTTGATGATAATTACCTAACCACTCAGAGAATATAAAAATTATAAGGATAGTTATTAGTTTGCCATATATATAGTCATATTATTCCTCCCTCCCTCCTCCCCTCCTCCCTCCCCCTCCTCCTCCCTCCCCCTCCTCCTCCCTCTTTTTTTATAGTTTTGTTTGCTATCTTGCTAATTTAAATCATAATTTAATAGTCTATCAAAATTGGTATTAAAAACAGCACAATTAAAAATTTTTTTCATTGAGAGTTTATTGCAGAAATGTTGCTACAACCAGGTAGAGTAAAATTATTTGACATACCAAGCTATCCATGACCTGTTTTTTAGGTCCTCCTTTGTTTTGTTATTTATTACAGTAAAGAGACAATTTTTTTCTTCAAGAAGAGCTTCAATTCACACTTTTTTTTTAAATAAATTAACACCGTGAGGGTTCTAATAAGCTCTAAGTATGCAAAAAAAGTTTGAATATAAATTTTTTTAAACTCTAAGAGCAATTTTTAAATAAATTATTTTTCTCCTGTCTACTATATATATATATATATATATATATATATATATATATATATATATATATATATATATATATATATATATATATATATATATATATATATATATATATATATATATATGTATGCTATATATATGTATACTATATATATATAGACTTTTTTTACATTAAACGACTCTTTCGACACACTATAAGGATATATATATATATATATATATATATATATATATATATATATATATATATATATATATATATATATATATATATATATATATCCTTATAGTGTAGTCGAAAGAGTCGTTTAATGTAAAAAAAGTCTCTTACGACTACAATTTTAATTACCTCGTCTCTTAAGCTGTTTTTGATTGTCGTCGAAATGTCAAAGCAATTAAATTTATGCGGAAGTACATTAAATTTTATTGTTTTTTTAAAAAACCGCAATTATAACGACTAGAAAGTTTTTTTTTATTAGTAGTGTTTTTGTTTTTGTTTTATTAAAAAACATTTTTAAAACATGCGTAAATGTTGATACATCGACTATATTATAGCCTGACTCGCAATGGAGTGCTGCTACATCGACTGACAAATAGCCTGACTCGCAACGGAGTGCTGCTACATCGACTGACAAATAGCCTGACTCGCAAGGGAGTGCTGCTACATCGACTGATTTTTTTTCTTTTTGTTTATTTGAATCTAAACCCTTTTTTCTAATTCATGCAGTGTTTCTTCAACAAACAACATCCAACTTCATCAAACAACTTTTTTAAGTTTAAATTAAAATATAACTTTTGGATTGGAATATGATTTAACCTTTAAAGTTGAAAATGTATTTATTTCTTTAACATCTTTGCAACACAATTTAATCTTTTAATAAAATTCTAGTTTGTGCATTACCTGCTTCTTTTTTGAAATAGTTTCAAAAGGCAATTAGGACAAAACAGTTTTTCCTGGGCCTGTTTTTTGGTTAACAAAATAGGAAATCAATATTATCTATATCTTGTATAGTTTTATATTGATTGGGTAGTTCAAGGTACTCTTAAAGTGTTGCAAATATGATAAAACCAAGACTTTTTATAGACAAGATGAAGCACTCAACAAACTAAAAATATTCAATCGCAAAAAATTTTTTTTTTGCAATTGAATATTTTTAGTTTGTTGAGTGCTTCAATTGAGCATATTGCAAATGCCACCTATAATTGTCTTTTAACTATGCTATGCTATAACTGTTCTAATGCTGCCGATGATTCTACTTGTCCTTTAACACTGTCTGTAGTTATGATACTTAAGCCTCATTTGTAGTATTTGTGAGTTGTATGAATAACTAAATTTTTGCTCACCTAGTATAGTTTAGTTAAAAAACAGACATGTATTAATATTTATTTTTTCAACATGTTTGTTTCTTTTATGTATTGAAGTGCAATCAATCTCTGATGTTGCTATGCTGATTATTTGGTTAACATATATGTTAATCCTAATGTAAGCTGTAATGTGTAATGGTGTTTACAAAAGGTAATGAACCAATGTGAGAGCGTAAAAATTTAACTCAAAATTTTTAGGTTTTTACATTTATCCATTATCATTTTACACAAAAACTTTTTTAAGTACTAGATATAAAAGCAAGAAAATATTTTTAGTAAATATGTAATCTCTTTCGCGATCATTTTTAAAAACATAGATTATGCTAAAAATATTAAGTTATAACTTTTGCAAAAATATTAAGTTGCAACCTAAAAATATTAAGTTGCAACTTTTAGTTGCAAATGATATTGCAATGTTGTTTGTTACTTATAATAAAAATGAAATCCTTTTTTTTTTTTGTAGATATGATAACCATATAAGAGAAGAACAGGGTGACGGAAAATCTGAAAAGATCAATGTTTCTTCATTTAAACCCACAATGAATTTTGTTGAAAATTATTTACACACTATAGCTGTTTCAGCAGAAATCGATATGACTGACATTGAGCAAAATAAGCTGACATATGAGGTATATATTTATAGTTTCTTAATTATATTTATAGTTTTTTTCTTTTTTTAATGACATATTATACCCAAATTAGCTTTTGTGTCAATAAATGTTATGATGAAATAACAGTATATAGTTATTATGCAAAGTTTAAATAAGCTTGTGTAAAGTAACTATTAAATGCCACCTGTGTTTTTGACTACTATTACTGTAATAAGTATGAGTGATTATTGTATCTATACCATAAAGTTAATAAAAATATAAAATTAGAAATTGGAAGAGATTAAAGTCAAAGATGTTACTACTGTTATAACCAATTAAGTAGTGGATATTTGCAGGAATACATTACGATCACTAATGACGTTTTGCAGGATCGAAGACTGAGAGAATATATTATAAAAACTGCAACAAAAGTTTTTTAAAAAAGATTATTTTATAACCTTTTTCATTTTTTAGCAGAAATTCAAAACAAACTTATGACAATAGATTGAAAAAAATTTATATCAAGAGATTTATATTTTCAAGTTAGAAAAATTATCATAGATATGCTTGATCATTTTCATTCAAATTTTTTTTCTTGTTTACATATATAAAAAAAATTTAGAAGTATCTTTAGGATTAAAAAAAAAAAAACCCTTAAAAAATCATTCTTAAATGTTATCCATTTTAAGAAAATTCAATTAAATGGTGGAATATTCAATTAAATGCAATAATACTAAACACATGGAAATATTATAATAGTTTTATAATATATTTGTAAAAAATTTTTTTATACAAAAGTTTTTTTTAAATATTTCTATCATTCTATTTTGATATCAAGTAATCATATATCATGGAAGTATTTGTTACCACGGAAATATTTGTACTGTTCTGCAATATGCAATATTCCTAAACACATGAAAATATTTTAATAGTTTTATAATATATTTGTAAAAAGTTTTTTTATACAAGAGTTTTTTTTAAATATTTCTATCATTCTATTTTGATATCAAGTAATCATATATCATGGAAGTATTTGTTACCACGGAAATATTTGTACTGTTCTTAACTTTAGTAACTCAATGAATAAATTACTAAAAAGCTTAATAAAATAATAAAGTGAGAACTTAGGGGAATTAGTTACTGAAATTGAAGCTGATTTTTTATTTTTATTTGACTATCCATTTTGAATGTACTTTTTTAAAATATATAATAAATAATTCGTGTATGTTGAATATAAAATAATAATTTGAAACTCAATTTATATTTTATAATACAAATTAAATTTCAAGTTTTCTTTTGTTCTTGTTATTTTTAAACTATTTTAACTTATTTTTCAATAGTTAGTATGCTATATTATTTTCAATAAATATCCTTAAGGTCATACAGTAACCTTCTACCCTCCTAGGAAAAAAAATTACATCAATGGAATTTGTATTTATTTACAATATTGGTAACAATATTATATATTGTTCGTATTGAATGATTTTTTATTAATACTTTAGGTTGTGCAGATAGCCAGATATCTCATTCATTTTGGATTTTATGGTTTTAAAGAACTTCTACGTCTCACCAAAATGTTACTTGTTATATTGGATAGTGTAGACTCTAAGTATTTTGCTAAAAGTATGTTTGTTTATTATTGTTACTCTATTTGCTTACTCAAAATCTACAGCCCTCAGAATTAGGGTCAGCATTCAGCAATGCCGACCTAATTGCCGATCTAAAAATGTTTGAGGTTGGTAAAAAATTGCTGACCTTGTTTCTATTATTTTTGTTAAGACCTTCATATCAATTTTTATTGGCTAAACTAATGCCCACCTTTAAAAGATTAAGGTCAGCAAATTATTGCCAACCTCATTTTTCATAATTCTGAGGGTTAAAGTCTACCTCATTATTACTCAAAGTTTAAATTAATTTTTAAAGTATTCTATATTTTTGCATATATAGAACCACTGTTTTTAAAGCTTTTTTTAATTTTTTTTTGCTTAGCAGAAAAGGAGCAGATGAATGTAACAAACACACTTAAAGCAGTTGGTGATGTGTTGACAAATGTTACCTTAGGAATGGATGCTGAATGGACAGCTAATAATTCTAATTGTAATTTTACTGTTATTAATTTTTATTTATATAATAGTAGATTAGTATTATATAATACTATAATACTGTTAATGCATTCTTTTACGTCTTTAGTCATGTTTTAATTTCTTTTTATATACATTTGTATTTAGTGGATTTTGAGAACAAACCTGTTCAAAATCAATCAAAGAAGGAAGATTTGACTCTGATGAATATAAAACTTAAAATTATTGAGATTCTTGAGTATATAATGAATGTTCGACTGGATTATCGCATGTCAAGTTTGCTAACTATCTTTAAAAAAGATTTTAATGAAAATGGAGCAGGTGAAGCTGTTGACAGTGAAGGGGGAGGTGCAAATATATATATATATTTATATATATAAATATATTTTTACAATATTAAGTTATTTAATGTTTAAACCCAGTTCTTGTTTATCAAATTTAATTCAAGTTAATTCAAGAAGAAATTCAGTAATATATTCTCGTACATTTATAAAATGATTAACTATATCAATTAACGAGTTCTATTTAATTTTTATGTCTAGTTTGAGCTCTAAAAATGTCCCTCTTCTTGTCCTTCTGCCATTTCTAACTCTTGATTTTCTTAATAAAATAACAGACAATTTTACTTTTATGATGTTTGCTTGAATATTTAATATATTTTTAAATTCAATTTTTGACAGACCAACATGATGGATCGTTATCTTTATCTTCAAAACAATCTTCTTGATGACTATCAACATCCTATTAAATCAATATTGCGTTATTATTATCAGTACTGTATAAATCATTTTGTTTATGTTTTAATTCAAATATTTTTTTTTTTTGCAAAGCATCTTCCCACTGGGTACAGGACCTAAAAAAGACAGCTTTTGAACATTCAAAAGCCGTTCAAATTTTTCAAAATATGTTTAAAAGGTGTCTTTCTTATGTCCCAGGCCCACTGAGTCTCAAACACCTAAATGTATGCCATGATTAAAACATAACTGGTAAATTGCTTGACTCTCTTTACTATACTTAATCATCATTGGAGCACAACCACAAGTTGAGGCAACAATATCTTTCTCAAAAGAAATGTTACAGTTTTCTAAATGAATTTTAACTAAACAAGATGCAGAAGTTCTCACTAATAAAAGATTATATGGCTCTTTTTCTTAAGCATAATAAAAATTTATATTAACATAGCGTTTCATCCACTTGTCCACTCGTCTAGTGTAATACTGAATCTTCTATTACTCTTCATTTTTATAATTTGCATAAATAAAAGTAATATTGTAAACTATTGATAACATTCACATTTATACTTTCAGATAAAGCACATGCTTATCTGAAATATATACACGCCCTTAGGTTTTTCACTTGAATTGAGCGCTTGTTTTATAAATAAAATAGTTGCTCTTTTTTTACAACAACACAGTATTGACAAATAAAAAAAAATTCACAAATACTTTAAAACCCTTAAATTATCAAGTACTTATTTGATACAGGAGTCTGAAAACTATTGGTATTTTGAAAGTATTTTATAGTATTGCATTGTAATTAAATTTGGTTTTATACTGTATTAAAAATTATGTAAACTAATTAACAAAAATTCTAAATAGAATCTGAATTCAAAAATTTTAAAAAAGATTATATTTCCTTATAATTCATTTCTTAAAACAATCTTATACTTAATATAATCTTTTGTTTGTTTATCACAGTTTGTTTATTTTAATTTTTATGTATTTAATGTTGCATTTATAATGAAGATTATAACCAATTTACAGATTTTATCAGTTAGTAATACGATATTTGTAAATGTATTTTATGTTCATAAATGTATTACGTCAAAAGAACTTTAAATGATATTGAATTAATAAGAAACAAAAAATTTTAAATACATTAGTAAAAAGAATTCTTTCAAACAAAAGCACTTCTCCTTTTTTAAAAAAAGTTTTGAATTTGCTTTCACATATTATAATCGATGATGGATAGACTTTAGGTAATGTTTTTAAGTAATGTAATAAGATGATATTAATAAAAATTGTGAAACAATTTTAAATTCATTTGAAACTAAATTTTACATTCAATGTTTTATTATTTTACACCCTCAAAACTAAATTTAAATTTTTAAAATCATAAGTCTTGAAAAAATTTTTTTTTCCTGAATTAAGGTCATATAAATGATATTTAAAGATAATTTAAATATTTCAAAAAACAATTATTTTTGTCCAACTAAACACTTTCGACATTTATGTTTTACAAAAAAGTTTTCGCTTAACTAAATGCTTTCAACATTTGTGAGTTGTGTAATGTTTCTTAACATGGCCTGTCAAGGTAGTTTTTTTTGGAAAATTTAGTTATATTCCTTTATCTCTAAATCCTTGAATAAAATTTAAAAAAAAAAAAAAAAAAAAAAAAGTATTTTAGTTTTTAAACAAAATTAGTTTAAATTAAATTAGTTTTTATTTAGGAAGTCTTTTAATAAATACGTTTAAACGCTCATACAATTTTCTTAAAAAACTAGAACTGCCAATAAAAATCAATAGACACCCTTTCTGGCGACTTTATTGCATCAAAGGAATATTTTTAGTTGTCCTTCACAAAATTCAGTCATCTGGTATTGTTGGACGACAATGAGTGTACATCTCTTATGTGTGTATAACAGGCATAAGTGCAAATTTGCATAATTGAAATGCTATGGTGAAAACATAGTTGTAAATCTGCATTAGTGCAAACGAGTAAATTAATTTGGAATAAATTTGTCAACTAGAAAAATTTAGACTATTGCTTTTGTATTTATATATAGTTTTTACTACTGTATTTTTGAATTTTTTTTCATCTGGTTCTATTTTTAATTATTTTAACTATTTGCTTTAGAGCTATATTTGCTCATAAGCAAATAGTCTTTACAGATGAGTTTTCTGATTAACTACTACAGTCTGCAATAAATGTACAAAGTATAGGCAGCTTGTTGCAGTTTAGAACTCAAATATCTAAAAGCAAAATGTCCATCTGCCTAAAAAGTCAGATTTTCAGCCATTTTGAGATGCTTGTAAATTTTTCTAACACTTTATTTTGATCTAAGATTAACAGCATATAAGACCATTAGACCAAACTATCAAACATTATAAACTTGTCAAATTCACACCAAAAATGCCATCATTTTTAATTAACCCCATTTTTCAATTATTACCCTCGTATGCTAAGCCTCATACTATGCTAAGCATTTTTTTGGTATGGATATTGAATTTTTTTGTACCAATTCAAAGATAATATTATTTCCAACAATGTTGTATGTTTAACATAACATATCATTTTTTTTTTTAGTACAAATCTTTATTTTTATTTCCAAAGGTTTGGTTTATTCCAAATCGTGTTGCCAACTCACTATTTTAATTTCAATTGTATTGAATTGTTTTTGTTTTAATTCAATGAATAGATTTTATTTTAGATGTTATTTGTTTTTGATCCTATATAAACTATTAAGAAATAATACAACTAATAAGAAATTAATAAACTCAGTTAAAAAGAATTACTTTAGCTATTTGCTTTTATTATCATTTTTGGAATTTTCTTAATTTTAAGATTGTCTAAAATTCAATTTTATGTCCTTAAGAGAGAATAAAGTCATCAATGATTAGGGGTGAATTATTTCTGAAAACAATAATAAGCAACCTGGACTTTGTATTCCTGGGCTTTCAAAACTGTTTAGAAACATACCTTTATAGTTAAAAAGAAAAAATACTTCAAAAGTTTTATAATTTACTATTCATTAACCTGCACTCTATAGTCCCTGTCTGTTAGTTTACAAAAAGGATTTTGTTATAAAAAAATAGTAAAATAATAAAAAAGTAAAATAATTTAAATGACTAAAATATAACTTAAATCATATTTTATAAAAAAATTATTTACTAAAAAAGTTAAATTTATGTTTTAGGTGTTGATTTAGACCACATAAGTGCTGAGGCAGAGAAAATGTTTGAGACTTCAATGTGATTTTTTTATTATTTAATTTTTTTTTTCTACTTCGAATTACAAATGTTTTTTTATTTTAAAAGATTGATTGATTTATTTATATAGATGTGATTACATTGATTTGTTTTTTTTTTTTTTTAGAGATGGCTACGTTGATTTAGATTTAGATAATTGTGGAGGAGAAATGTTTTTGCGTGTCTTACTCAATCTTGCAATGCATGAATACAAACCACTTGTTTCCGGTTCATTGCAGTTACTTTTTCGTCATTTTAATCAACGGCAGGAAGTGCTTCAGGCTTTTAAACAGGTAATTATTTTAGATATTTAGTCTGTTTTAGAAAGAAAAAACTTATGCATAGTTTTACTTGTTAGTATATTAGACCCCAGGGCCTAAGTTCTGTTCTTACTTTGTGAATATTGTACAACAGGCACAAGTTCTGTTTTTGCTTATTCTTTTATGAATGTAGCAAATAACAGTATTTTTTTTAGGTGCAACTGCTTGTATCAAGTGAGGATGTTGATAATTACAAGCAGATTAAAAGTGATCTAGATCAACTCAGACTTCTTGTTGAAAAATCAGAACTGTGGGTATTCAAAGGTTGGACCCAGTCTGCAACAACAAAATCAAAGAAAAGAATTAGTAAATTGCCAGAAAGTGAAATTCCTGGTGATCATAAAGCATCAGAGCAAATTTCTTATGTAGTAAGTGGTATAATAAATTTTTTCTGTATTTTTTATTATTTTCAAATTTTTTTTTTTCAATATTTCTTTATTTGTGTATCATAATACAGAAATTATTAAAAAAGAAGGCTAAAAATCAATGGTTTCTTTTTTTTTTTTGGGGTTCCAATTTTAAAATAATAAAAAAATGAAGTCTTTACTGCATAAGTAAATTTTGACATCAATTTTGTGTGTGGGACAATTTTTTTTGGATTTCAATAAATTATAAATAAATTCCTTATTTTTTTATTTTTTACATTAAATAAATTATAGATAAATTCCTTATTTTTTAAATTTTTTTAATTTTAAACATGTTTTAGGATGATGGTGCTAATACTTTTGGGAGAAATTTGTCATTGGGTTCAAGTGACCAAGATAATGATGATCAAATGGAGGGAGTTTCATTGAAAAATTATAAAACCGTTTTGCAAGTTAGTACAGTTATGTTATCAAAGTCTAATACAATTTAAAAAATGTTGTCAGTGTTTAGGAAGTTTATTTAAACAAAAATATACATATACAGGGCTGTATATACATAGACAGGGCTCAATTTAACTGTCGGACATCGGACATTGTCTGGCTAAGACCTTAAATTGTCTGATCAATTTTCAAATTAATCAGACTTTTTGACCGATGGGATTTAAATTCTACAAAATTAAGCTTGGACAGGAACGGAGTGAGATCAAACGCAATTGCTGACAACGTAAATGGTTTATTTTGTTTTACAATTTGACCACAACTGTTTAGATGTTTTGATGATTTAAATGTTTCAGAAATGCATTGAAAAAAAAAGAAATGTTAAGCTAAATTTAATCTAGGAAAATAGTTAAAGAAACTAAAAAATAAGCAAAACAAGTCAAAAGAAAAAAAATTTTTAAATAAAACTAAAATAACTAGAAGTGTAACAAATTTTTGTCACATTTTTAATTACATTTGAAAAAAATTATTCTTTTAAAACATTTAATTACGCCAAACTCTTTTACAAATTACTTCTATTTATTGTTTAATAAATAAACAAACTTTACTTAAATTATTGAAAAGTGAAATTAAATTATTGAAAAGAAAAAAATATACTGGATATATATTTTTAAGTTGTATAAATATTTTTTTTCAAAAAGTTGCTATGTTAATGATTTATGGATCAAGTCAGAAATCCATATGACTTGAGTAATAGCAATATTTTTTTTTGGAAAAGCAAGGTTTATTTTCCATCAATGTGTTTTTGTTAATATGCAAGTAACATGATTTTTTCAACTTGGAGCCTATATTAAAGTTTTTAATTACTTTGACAGTGGTTACGTTTAATGTTAGTATTCAGAAATGACAATGATAGTTTGATTAAAAATGACAATGGTCATTATTTATAAAATTATCATTGTCTGAATACAAACATTAATAATTAATTAAATTATTAATGTTAGTATTCA